ACTACCGATGACCCTAGGGGCGGTGGGCCTGGCACTACCGATGACCCTAGGGGCGGTGGGACAGGTACTACCGATGACCCTAGGGGCGGTGGGACAGAAGGTGTTAGTACAGGATTGTGAGATGCAGGACGTGCTGCAGTAGATGATACACTCGTGCTCCTGGCTGGTTGTGTCGTAATAGGTGGTGTTGGAGTTGGGTCTCCTATTATCACTGTCAGAAGTATTAATAATAACAACAATAATAATTGATACTTTATTGATCCCCATGGGGAAATTCTCTTTACACCTCCCTCAACTTGCTCTTTGTAGAGTAAGTTGTCCGCGAAGGGCAGCCACCCGTAGCGGCGCCCAGGGAGCTGGGGGGTTAAGGGCCTTGCTCAAGGACCCACAGACATGCTGAGGCTGGGTTTGAACCGGCGACCTACTGATTACAGGCACACAGGCTTAGCCCACTGAGCCTCACGCTGCCCCCCGTTTGCTGGGATCATGTACATAGCCGGTGTAACTGTGACAGTGAGATGAACTGAAGGTTGCGGAGAACTCACTGGTGATGATGGGGCTTCAGAAGATGCTGTACTGGTGTCAGCTATAAGCATGGAGGTGACTAGTTTGGCTAGTTCTAAGTCAGACTCAGCCTGCTTCAGGCGGCGACTCCTCTCCAGGCGTTTAGTTAAGGCTTCTCTGGCCTGGAATGCCTCCTCTTGGGCTTGCTGTGCTGCCTTCGCTTGGGCCTGAAGCCGCTGGTGTTTAAAATCAGCCAGCAAGTCCTCCTCCATTTGATGGCGAAGATTCTCAAGTTCACGCTGTCTAATATTCTCCTCCAGGATTGCAGTCTGGACAGGAGGGAGGGCTTGAGGTGGATAGAAACCAGAAGAGCGTATGGATCCCTTCCGGATCGTGAGCTAGAGCTGGATACGCTACCGGAGGCGTTCCTCGCGCCGCTTCTTTGCTCTCAGCATGGGAAGAAGCTGTTGGAGGGTGGGCATCAGAAGGGCAGTAACCAGCTTCATAGTCCACGACGGGAAGGGGGGGTGACTCACTCTGCGGGGCCCGTTGGCCTCTTCCCTCTCTAACTGCGTTGTCCATATTGCATTGACTTGCTTCAATCCGGCTCAAAGGACCAAAATACAGTGCAGCTTAGCACTTCTACACTGGCTGAAGCGGCCAACATGAACAGTTGATTCCGGTTAGAGAATCAGGGACTGGAGGTCTTCTTTGATATTTATTGAACTTTAGTTCTGAAAGCAGGTGACAAGTGGGTGACAGCTGGTTGTGCGGGATGTGAGATGCACATGTGTGTTGTATGTGTGTGTGGTCTATGGGATCATAAATAAAGCTTACATCGATATTTAGCCAGGTTACAGGCAACAATGTCACAACAACAAGTACTACAATAGTACTATTAAAACATGTTACCTATGTAACAGCTGCGTTGATATTTAGATCAATAGGAAAACTACAGCGGTAAGTTTAACATTACGTGCCAAACACTGTTCGCGTAATGCTAGGTAAACGGTAACCGGCGAACTGCACAAACGTCGTTGTCTTGCTGCATAACTTTAAATCGAATAATCAGTAAAAGACAAGGCAGAAAGTAAGTAAGTACAAGCAAGGTAATAATAAACGCTCTTTAACAATACTCACTCTTTCCATGAACGCATTTCAGGGATAACAGGTAGCGAGTCTCACTGCATTTAATGCACATTAAATGGGAAGAAAAAAAAAGTAGCGAGTCTCGCAGTATGCAACACTTAAAACAGGCCGAGGATGGAAAACTAAATGCTTAACTTTAGTTCCACCTTTAGTCTTTCTGACAACCAAATGCACAGTATTTAACATTTTTGGGTTTCCACTGGTGTAAAAACTGTTACTGGCAGCTCATGACATCACACCGGCGAGGCCGTGAATTTTGTGCTGAATTCGAAAAAAAGCTGTATTATCGGGCTCGACAATGTACAATGTTATACTATTTTTTTTATTTTTTTTTATTTTGTGTCATGCCATTCTGATCTTGTATCTGTTTGGCATTAAAGCTTCTCTCTCTTCATTGTTATTATTACTTTTTTAAAAACTTTGTTTATCGTTGTTTTCTGAGTTCTAATTTAATCTTAGCTTACAGTGCACAGCACAGGCTGATTTCCCATCTTCACCATCTTCCTTTTTTACACCAGAATCCTAAGACGAAGTCTTCCATCTTTCCTCATGTTAGGTCTCAAAGTAATCAGAGAAGGAATGTCCTTCATGTGAACTCAGTCATCAACCAGGGTGTTCAGGCCCATAGCAAGACTTCAATTACTGGGAATGCAGATGGACCGATTCCCTTCAGAAGTGCAACCTCTCCAGTGGACGCTGTTCAATCATGCATTTTTTTTTTTTTTAATGTTTAGCTCCTTTACAAAACATGGCTGAAAACCTGAAACTACCAACAGCATTATAAACACTGTTAATCCCATAATTCAACGGGTAAAAGATATTTTTGTGTATTAAAAAAGTACAGCCCCTCAAAAAGCTAAATACCCAGGACCCCAACCTGGTGAACATGCAGCCCACAAATCAGTCTGACAATCAAAACCAGACATAAAACTTGTTTCATGGGTGCCAGGCACATCTGTCAATCTCACAACACCTCTGGCACAATAATCCATCTACTAGGCTACACTTTCTGGCAACATAAAAGCCATTGAAATCACAGAAGCTCATCATGTACAGACAGCAAACCTTGATGGTCTTAAAAATGTCAGCCTTGGGTTAGGGTGTGTGTGTGTGAGTGTGAGTGTGAGTGTGAGAGAGAGAGAGAGAGAGAGAGAGAGAGAGAGATGTTTGCTGATGACCTGCAAGTTTATTAAACCAACCAGCAGCCAGTCACTCAGGATTACTCTGCAATTAAAAATAACACAGAGAGTGTGAACCTGTTTCAAAGAGAAACAACAGCATACAGCAGGAATGAGAATATGAGGACGGATGTTTAAAATCCTTCCAAGGTGGAGCACAGAACACTGAATATAATAAAAAAGGATGGAAAACAAAAGACACGAGACAGAAGTAAATCATGACAACATCCACGGTCATGTGAGTTCGTGATGCTGCAAATCTACCAATCAGCTCTGAGTTTCTGTACGCAGCTCAATATAATGACACACTCACTGAGTTTCCATTGACTACAGAAAACCAATCAGACAATTTAGCTGGATAAGATACAGCAAACAGTGATGTGAACAAACAGGGGCCTGAATTTAATTAATTATTATTAAGCTAGTTTAGTGTAACAAATATTCATTCAAAGCTACACTGGAAGTAGATCACATGCATAAATGTGGAAAGGTAGCAAGCTTCACATATTTCACCTAAAAGGACTGACCTTTCCCAAAGCTGTAACAAGACAAAGATGGCTTCCTTATCAACACACTACCCTGAATAGTGAGGTAACTCTACACTAAATTAAACTGGCAGGAGAGAGCAGAAAGTGTGGTGATGAGGCATAGACCTGAAGAACGAAGCATTCCATCTGGTTTCCAGGGACTGCCTGTTGTATCCTTAACACTAAAGTGGGAATGTACATTAAAATCTATTACACTTCTATACCACAAAGCACCCAAATTAAACAAAGGGGCAAAGAATTTCACACCAGGTGATGATGCTTGCATGTCTGTACATTCTATACATTCAGGGACTACTTTAGGCTGTAACCGTCAGAGAGAGCCTGTACACTCCCTGTCAGACTCTACACAGGAACCTAATCAATGTGCTTCACCTTCAGTGCCTGCTGGACTTCAGTCACTAACACAATAACTGCTGCTGTATACTGTTAACAACATTCCGAAACCGAAGGGAAAAACCGTGCTCAACGTATCATTAGTTAAAAAGAAGGAAAAAAAATAAGCATGCTATGGAGAAACCTTAAATGACCATAAATTTATGGAGGATACAAAATGCATAGAAGAGATTGAAGGGTGGATACACTATGGTTTACGGGAGGCAGAGGCTCGCGCCGCGTGTCAGGTTCGCTTCTGGATCTGGCTACAATGAAGCCAAAGAACGATACATTTCAAACGATCAGATCAAAATAACATTCAAAAGATCATAAGCATTAACCAGAAGGTCTCCTGAAACACACAAACCCTGCCCCAAACTACACTTATTACCTGGAAGCTTCATTGTCGTAATTTATAACTTTTGATTAAATCGGATCCATGTTAGAAGTACTAAGGTAATATGCAAGTCAGATCTTTCACACACTGCGACTGGCGCGCTTTACTGGTCTTAAATCACCCGCTTCTTCCGTAGCGATTAGATGTTCAAAAACAGCGTGGAAAGACACTAAATTAAAACTTATTAAATCGAATCGTCCTTTGCAACCCTCTTCAACACCAATGCTGGCAATATCCGTCTTTTCTATCCAACTACTAAACTCAGTGGATGGGGAAAATACAGTCCCCGAGTTTAACGTTGTTGGAGACGGATTGGTAATAAAGTTAATCCAGAACTTACCGCTCTGGACTGGCGTGATATCGACCATGGCTGTAACAGCGCGGTAATCCTTCTGCGGGGACTGTGAGCCAGCAGGTCCCTTAACGCCCTTTTCCTTCCCTCTTTCTTTTTGTCGTGACGCCGTCCCGTTTCCTCATTCTTATGGGAGCATACGGAGGAAACACCCCCCTTAAAGCTGCAGTAGATCCCCCATGCCACCCAGCTCATTTACGGCAACTTGGTGCAAGATAAGAAAAGATAATTCGCTGAAAGTATACTTAGATTAAAAAAAAGAAAGATACGACTCTGAAGTCCTAGTTTAGTGCTGTGTTCACTGGACAGGTAACAAGACGATGAGATTAATTTCGTGTACAGGGAACATTACACTTGTGTCATTCTGGGATTGTCATGGTGCTGAATTACGAGGAATTCAGCTAAACAATACGTTTTATTTTCCTTCTCTTGCCAGATGAACTGATGATCTTAATTTTGTGGGCTGTGTCATAATTCGACTGGTCACAGACATTTTAAGCTGCAGAGGCCTAAGAATATTAGACTGAAGGCACTCTGCAGATGGACAGAAAGCGCTCATGAACCGAGATGCTGCACAGCGAGTTCATTGTACCGACAGACCCTCTGCTACCAGGATGAATGGTACCCAGGAACCTCACTCTCCAGTGGAGAAACTAGGGTAGCCTGTCTGTATGTGTGAGAGAGAGAGAGAGAGAGAGAGAGAGGGGCTCTTCTGGAAGGAATGTGCAGTCAGTGGATTTGTGTGTAAACCTGTGTGTGTGTGTGTGCAGAGTTCTATCTCTGCTCTCCATCATGAACCCAGTTCTGAACTGGAAACTAGAGCAGCATCCATGTCAGCTGCCTCAGGTGGTGTGAGCTGTTTGTTTGGGCTCCTCTTCTGACTCCCCACTATCTGCTCATGTCCTCACGCCAGTTGCATGGCAGAGAACTGACCTGTAAATTATAGCCAAACCAGATCCATCCATGAGAGTCAGTAAAACCCGCACACATGCCTGTCTGTTTTTGCTCCCCATCTACGATTCACACACCCTGTTGACTACATTCCTCTGTCTTTTTTCTTTCTTTTTAAAGCCGAATTAAATTTCAAAAATGTCATTGAACAAGTATACAGATGGGTGGTGTTTGCAATGCAGACAGCATAACTGCCTTTGTTAAACCTATCTTGTACTGCAGACAGCGTACTTGCCCAGACTGGTCCTGGCGATGCACTGTGGAAGGTCATTCACTGGCAGCAGGAACGGCAACACAGTGCCTCAGAAAGGAAAATGCTCAGAAATCAGCACTGACAGATGCCGGGCAATCAAAGCTGCATCTTATTCTTCCAGGCGATGGAACAAGTATCTTCTCATCTCATCAAACAACTGGGTGATGTATGTATTGCTTTTGGCTGAAAAGAGAAATCAGTCAAATATGAAGTCGAGGTCTTCAGAGCAGTTGGAATTTCACTTGATTTCACTATGCCACAGAGAGAGGAGGTAGCTCATGTTTGGGGACGGTGGATGGGAGACCCTTCAGCTCTGAAACTCACAGCTCACATGGCTGTGTCAATTTAAAAAATGGGGGAAAGGTTAAGTTTGGGTTAAACACTGTTCTGCTTACGTGTTGAGCCACATCACCCAGTTCATGAAAAGGTCTTTGAGCGGATTCCAGTGACATGACAAAACTTCGAGTCAGTCACTGTAGATGAGGCAATTTACATGTTTCTGTGAAACACAAGGTAGACTTGCTACAAAAATTTATCCAGCTATTTATTTAGCCAGAGGACACATGCACTTATTCTCCCTGAAGCGCAGCTTCTCTGCTATCCAGCAGGGGCAGGAATCAGATCCATAGCCCTACAACTGTGAGGCTACACATGCCTGTCACATTCATACATATCCGAAGAAGTACTGCCCATTTCTATGACATCCTTTAAAAATAAACAATCACCTTCCCTTGTTTCCCATTTCAGACACTCCACTCTACTTAACTCACCAAATCAAACCACACAGACTGGAAGAGGACACTGTGAAAATCAGCGCGTAGTACCTGCCTATTCATCGATCTTCCAAAATTAGGTATCCTGTACAGGGTCTCAGTGACATATCAGGATTATGATACAAATATGAATGCCTGGAACATCACCACCCTCTGCATACAAAATAACATGATGTAGTAAACATGTTGCCAAGAGACAACATTATTTATAGAACAGCAGGCAAAGGAATTTTACATAAACTTGATATAATTTATCACTCAGTTCTTCGATTTGTCACAAACGCGCCATTTAACACACGCCACTGTCTTCTTTATTCTGCAGCTCAACTGCCTTCATTGCAGACTCGTCGCGACATACATTGGTTCTCTTTTATCTATAAAACACTTCTTGGTTTCGCACCTCCCTACTTGACAGATTTGCTGCAGATTTTACCTAAACCTACATATAACACACGTACGTCTTCTCTCATTAAATTGAAGCATCCAAGATTTAGGTCCTCTGTTGGTCGTAAATCATTCCAATTTACAGCCGCAACTGACTGGAATTCATTACAATTATCACTAAAACTGAACAATTTTATAGATGTTATTACTTTTAAAAAAACACCTAAAAGACATATTTAAGGATACATGCAATTGTTTCTAAACTGCTAAATGTTTTTGTCTATGTATTATTTGGTATTGTATAAAATTAGGTTTAAATAAAATAAAGGTTTAAATAAAAAAAAATTAAAAAATTAAAAAGACAATCAGGCAATGTGGAGATTTTGTTGTGTCTGGCGGGACAAACAGCAGGCAGCTCCGCCTCAAACAGGGTGTTTTCTGTATTATTATGCTACATCACTGAAATAATCCTTCTATTGTCCCTACATGATGTGATGATTGTAAAGCTAAATATGCTGTACTGTGTCACATAAATAAAACACTACTGTGACATACCTCCTGGGGTAACTTTCTACTGCAGCATAACAAGCCAGTTAGTCACACCTTTGGGTGAAGGTTACAAATTTTGCTTCCCTTTTTATTGAAGCTTATCAAAGGTACAGGTCTAACACTGCACTTGTCACAAGGCCACTGGTAAAACCCCAGGATGATGAAGAACAATAGAAGACAGATAAAAAATAGATGAGCTTATGTGTCACCGGAAGTTTCCTGTTTGCTTCCTGTCACATGGCTGTGACGAACTGAAGAACTGTACTATCCTCTACCCTGTATTTCAATGCTGTTGAGACAGAGTGGAAAACTCTGAAACATATACAAACAAAACAAGGTTTAAATTAATCATGCTTCCTTATAAAATTTTCCATATATAAGGTTAATTTAAATTTTCACTAAAAAAAATCTACATTTAAGTAGCTCCTTATTGCTGATTACCACTATGTTCTCTCTTGGACGAATTCACAGAAGATCCTCAATGTTGTCATTTAAACTATGCCGAGACTTCTGCTATAGGTGTCAATGTCCATGTGTGGGCTGACGTTCAACAATCAACACGGTATCACGTTTCAGTTGCAGAATAAGGGTTATCTGGCTAAATGTCGCCATCTGGTGGTCAGTTCTGGTAAACAGTTTCAAACCCAAACTTTGTTTGAATCGCACAGTCAGCTGATTACCAGGCAGACTCAGCGTTGCTTTTATACTGTTCATTAGCTTTAGTAAAATTATTAACATGAAATCGTATCTCATTATTTACATAGGTTAAACGCAAATAGAAAATGGATATAAGTACATGATACATGATGATATGAGGATAAATCAATATAAAAATCTAATAAAACTCTCTGTATTGTGTGTACTTTGCATGTTCTCCCCGTGTTGGGCGGGATTCCTTGTGTTCTCTGATTTCTATATGATCGCCTATCTAAATTAGTTATCTTTGTGCACGAACAAAACAATCAAGGTCACTGTAGAAATAGAAGATATTATTTTACAAGTTTATTTGAGGACGGTAAGATGTGTAAATGTAATATGAACTCAGATGCGAAAATGCCTTGTACACCCTCTTTAAAAATCTGTACGTGTTACCTAAATGTCACTGTTTGTTATAAGAAACATCATTATTTGTTATAATAAAAATAAAAAAACCTGAACATTTTTCTGTGATTCACTTTTTATTTTTAAACATAGAAAAACAGAGCAATTCCCCTCAAATCCAGTAGGCGGAGCGTCGTTACGGGCACGACGAAAGCAGTAAATGGGACACTTCCTGTAACTCAAGTTCAACTTCCGGGTCATCGAGGTTAGAGTAGAATCAAAATATAGCTCGAGAAGGGAGGTGTGCTAACTGAATGATTCCCGTGTTTTCATATTATTTTATTTTTTCAGTCTAGTCGTTTGGGATTTACAATGGCGGGTTTACCTCCTGGAGACCCGCAGCTGGTCTCTATGATTGTGAATCATTTAAAAACCCAGGGCCTCTTTGACCAGTTCAGGCGTGACTGCCTGGCGGACGTGGACACAAAGGTATGAATGAAATTTGTTATTAAAAAGCGGGGGGAAACTATAAAATAATGTATATGAAAACATATCCGCTCTATAAATGTAGTTGTTTATTAGACCGTTAGCTGCGTCAGTGGTTATGATTTGTTATGGTTATTTGATATGGTTATATTTATGATTATTCCCTGATTGAAATGCATTCATTTTGACGTATGGGTGTAGTGTATAGCGAGTGTATATTTGCTGGTTGTTATCTGGTTCGGAAAGTATAGGACGTGCGGATAAGTATTTGCCAGTAATTATGAACTGTTTGATGTCTAGTTGCTATGGTTTAACCGATGCTATTTATTTTCAGCCTGCCTATCTCAATTTAAGGCAACGTGTGGATAACTTTGTATCCAACCACTTGTCCAACCACACATGGAGTCCTCACCTGAACAAGAACCAGCTAAGGAACAACATCAGACAGCTGGTCTTGCAGTGCGTATGCAACAAAAAAACATTGCTTTTTCCAGTTATTTAAGAGCTATAAATGTGTTTTAGCATTAATCGTGGTGTTACATATATGTAACAGCAAAATCGTTGCTATTATTACTAAGAAAGAGGGTGCGTGATGTCACTGGTGTTTATGAATATTTAGGAAGAAGACATGTGATACCCCCAAAACTTTCTGCCCCAACAGTTTCTGGGATCTGGATACGTGGTGACCCTCCCTCTGTCAGACTCATCTTTTTCCCTGTGTTCCTTTAAAGTGATCTATAATGCCTTTTGTTTCTTTGAACTGATCTATACTGCCCTGTCTGTCTCTGTTTCTCTATGTTGTTATCGGTTACTTCCTTTTATGGAGATCAGTCAGGAATGATTTATACATTTTCTCACCCCTCATTGATCTGTCATTTTTTTCCCTTCAATTATCAGATCTGGAATGCTTGAGCAAGGAGTCGACCGCATTGTGGCCCAAGTGGTGGATCCCAAAATCCACCACACCTTCAGACCCCAGGTGGAGAAGGTTGTCCGCGAGTTCCTCTCACCGGGGCAGGCTGCCGATGAGTCTCCAGTGTATTTGGCTCAGCCAGAAGAAAAGCAGGAGCACCATCTGATGGCTCTAGGTAGCACGGGATGGTTTCTTTGGGTCGCCTGGCATTTTTGAGGCATTCGTGCAGTAGACAGAATGATATTTGTTAGTAAAATGGAATCTGTTCTGGTGAGGTTGTGTGGCAGATTGGGTAACACTGCATGTTGACACCTGCACCATCCTATGAATTACATTAATTCCTTGTCATGTACAGGGCAATCTTCCACACCTGCTCCGTCGACGGCCAGCGATGCCATGTCTATCTTAGATACCATCACCTCCCTAAACCAGGAGGCCAATGCTTGGACCTGTGGCGAAAGGCCAGGAGACAAGGCTGGCAGGCGGAGTGGCCCCCAGGGAGAGCAGCCCCTTGAGGAAGAGCTGGCATTGGAGGCTGAGCCTGGAGAGTTGGACATGAGCCTGGTGGAAGAGGAGGAGGAGGAGGAGGGTCAGGGGGATGAACAGAAAGTGGAGCTGGGGACTCCAAAAATGGAACCTGAAATCGGTGACACTCCTGAAGGGATCAAGGAGGAGTTTGTTGGCGAGGCAGAGCAACAGGTGGAGCAGCAGCAGCAGCTTCCACCACCTCAGCAGGAGCAGCAGGAAGGGGAGGAGGTCAAAGAGTCAGCAGAGGAAGCACCGGATGTCAAAGGAGAAGATGGGAAAGACAGGGCTGCCAAAACGCCCAAGGAGGAGGCTCCAGCCAGGGATGGAGAGGCCCCCAGTGAGAAGCAGCACATACGGCAGAAAGCCAGGGAGAGACTCAAAGAGGGTGCGTGATGCCCTGAGCATTTGACTCTGTATTAATACTCAGAAAGTGGTGGCGTGATGCCCTGAGTGTTTGGCTATTTATTAAGGCTCAGAAAGTGGTGGTGAGATGCTGTTGAGTGTTTGGCTCTTTATTAATACTCAGAGAGAGGGGGAGTGATGCCCTGAGTGTTTGGCTATTTATTAAGGCTCAGAAAGAGGTGGTGAGATGCTGTGAGCGTTTGGCTCTTTATTAATACTCAGAAAGTGGTGGCGTGATGCCCTGAGTGTTTGGCTATTTATTAAGGCTCAGAAAGAGGTGGTGAGATGCTGTGAGCGTTTGGCTCTTTATTAATACTCAGAAAGAGGGGGAGTGATGTCCGGCTCTTTATTAATACTCAGAAAGAGGTGGAGTGATGCCCTAAGTGTTTGGCTATTTATTAAGGCTCAGAAAGAGGTGGTGAGATGCTGTGAGCGTTTGGCTCTTTATTAATACTCAGAAAGAGGGGGAGTGATGTCTGACTCTTTATTAATACTCAGACAGAGGGGGAATGATGTCCTAAGCATTTGGCTCTTGATTAATATTCAGAAAGAGGGGGAGGCTATTTATTAATAGAGATGGGCCGATTCACATTTTGTCAGTTCCGATCTGATTCCAACATACAACTGCCGATACCGATACAGATTCTGATACAAGAGCTCTTTTTACTTTGATATTTTAAGATAATAAATATCTATGTACATTTATATTTATACTCTATATTAACATTTTTGAACCAGTAAATACAAATGAAAATATGTATGCCAAAAAATTAATTAGCCTACTAGAAACTAGTACTGTTCCACCTGGTTTTAAGTGTTTTTGGGACATTTACAGCAAGTGGCAATTGCTTAAAATGCCCAGAGTTTTTCTCCCACTGGCAACAGCGTAACCTCCTTGCGATAGCAGCCCCTCGTGTATCACAAGCTGTAGTGACTGTGCAAAACAGCCCGGGCCAGTGACTCCCAAAGCATCCATTGCATTTTCATATTACTCGTGTTGTCTCGCACAATTGCATGCACTTTGTTTACAAAGTTGTTGTTCTACAAAGATTGAAAATTGCCGTGCTACTAGTTGTTAAAAGCATAAAATGCTTCCAGATCGTCACCTTCCAATCTGATTTTCTTTCCAGTTTCGTTTTCGTAAATGAAAATGGACGCTAAATAAAACAAAACCTTGTTTTACTACAGTATCTCCTCTTTTAAAAGATGTTGTGGCTGCTGATCTGTCCCTTCCTTTGTCGCGACTTCAGTGCTCATCGCTTGTGTCCCATGCGGTGTGCTCCTCCAACCTAATAAGCATGAGGAAATGCCATATTTATACAGATTATTCACTTTTGGGCATCACAATAAACATCTCTTTGATATTTTTTGGCATACTAATCTGCTTGTCAAACTGCAGGTGAAAGTAATGTCCGTATAGTGCTGAAAAACCAGCGTACATTATCTAAAGCCCTGAAAGGTACACAGTTTGTTGTTGTCAAAATAAAATTAAGTTAAATGGTGAAGTTGATTTTCGGGAGGAATATGAATCATTTATATTGGCTGACCAGTCGATAAAATAGTCGATAGATCAATCTAGAGAAAAACAGTCGTCAATGGGAGCCCTTGGTCACAGTACAGTATACATTCTTATCCCGGTGGGTCTTAGCAGGTTTATAATAATGAACTAAGAAAATGGTGATAAAAAGGTTAACCAGAAGGGTATGACTTCAAGATGATATCATTTTGCTGTACATTTATTTTGTATATACAATAAAGGGCCGACATGTCCAGTCAGTCGGAACCAATCACAGTCGCTAGTTGACGACAACCTGTACTCAGAAAGATGGTGCAAGATGTCCTGGGTGTTGACTGCTTTATTAATATTGAGAAAGAGTGCGCAATGCCCCAAGCATTTGGAGCTTCATTAATACTCATAAAGAGAGTGTGTGATTTCCGGAGTGTTTGGAGCTTTATTAATACTCTGAAAGAGGATGCACAATGCCCAGAGCGTTTGACAGTTTATTAATACTCAGAAAGCAGATGGGAGATGCCCTGAGCATTCAGTGCTTTAGTAGTTTTCAGAAGAAGGGTTCACCGAAGCTCTGAGCATTTGGTGCTCTATTAATATTTACAAAGAGGGGGCATGATGCCCAGACCGTTCGGTGCTATATTAATACTCAAAGAGTGTGCACGGTGCCCTGATCATGCAGCGCTGCATTTGTACTCAGAAAGAGGGCACATGATGCCTCCAGTGTTCACCTTTTTAATATTCGGAAAGAGGGTGGGTGAAGCCCTGAGCATTCGGTGCTTCATTATTACTAAAAAAGAAGGCAAGTGACGCCCCATGCGTTTGGCATTTTACTAATACTCAGAAAGAGGGTATGTGATGCCTCAAGCACTGAGAGCTTTATTAATACTCAGAAAGAGGGCATGTGATGCCCCCAGTGTTGATCACTTCATTATATTTGAATGGGGTCCCCTTTTGAGTCTTGGTTCCTCTCAAGGTTTCTTCCTGCTAGAGGGAGTTTTTCCTTGCCAGTGTCGCCTCAGGCTTGTTTGGTGGGGGTTTGGACCAGTTATATGTAAAGTGCATTGTGACAATGACTTGTTAAAAGCGCTACATAAATAGAATAGAATTGAATTGCATTCAATTCAATTAATTCAGTTCGACTCAATTCAGTTCAGGAGGACATATCATGCCCCAAGCATTCAGCTCTTCATTAATACTCAGAAAGAAGGTGCACGGTGCCCTGAGTGTTCAGAATTGTATTAACACTTGGAGGCAGGGCACATGATGCTCAGAATGTTCAGCGTTTAATTAATACTAATATGAAGCATGCACAATGCCCTAAGTATTCCACGCTTTATTAATACTCAGAAAGAGGGAATGCGACGCCCTGAGATTTTCGTGCTTTATACTCTGCTTTGTGAATCAGGGTCCAGGAAAGTAGTGACACCATGTGCCCTAAGATTTTTCTGTCCTTAATTGAGTAGAATTTTATGTTATCTTTTAAATATGATGCGTGTGTCATTGATGCTGCCACACACATACAAACAGCTTGCACAACTGGCACAGCTTAGTTAGTTTTTATACAGGTCGCTCTTTACTGTGTAACTTAGAGCAGGATTTGTCAAGCTTTCCAACCCCAAGGGCCAGCTATTCATCATTTATCACACTGGCAGCCCAGGGGAGGGCAGCATTGGTCCCCCTTGCCAAATTTCGTTGACCCATCAGTGTATTTTGAGCAGCCTGTTACAGACCAGCACATTTCCCTGCCATAGTTGTACAGCCTGCCCCTGGCCTGCGGTCCAGTGGTTGATAAGTACTGCAGTAAGGGCCTTTAACCTGGGAATGAAGTCAGTTCAGATCATGTACCAGTGCTACAGATTAGTGGCACTTACTCAAGACCTATTTGGACACAGGTGCTTTAGAAAGCCAAGTCAGTTTGGAGATTTACAGAAGAGCCAGCTGTATCCATTAAAAGTGTGAATATAATGGAAACACTCCAATGTGTACAGCAGCATACACATCTGTCTATCCATCATCCAGCTGCTTATTCTAGCCAGCATCTCTGGGTTTCTGAATCCATCCAAGGCAGCACATGGCATGAGGCAGGGGTGCATTCCGAGGCCGCAGACATGCTCTTACACGTGCGCACAATACACTGTGGGCAGTTTACACAAGTAAAGTAGTTTCTGTCACGTAAATGTACAGGCTGCTGGACTTCTCTGGTTGCTGTCGTGATGCTCTCTGTTGGATGTCTCATGTGTGACGCGTGTTCCTGTCCATGCCAGAGTACTCCCTGGAGGACTCGGACCTCGAAGGTCTCAGCGACATCACAGTGAGCTCAGTCCACACCAGCGACCTGTCGTCATTTGAAGAGGAGAGCGAAGAGGAGCCACCAGTGTCTGACAGCACAGAAGAGGGGGAGATCATCTCAGAGGGTGCGTGTGGTCTTTTCCTGCCACTGACAGGTCCGCCAAAATGGGCTGGAATTAAACCTATACTTTACATCAGAAGTATACACTAGCATTTCACGAGGACGTGTCACTGTTCGGAAGGCTTTAGTATTTCAAAAATATATCTCAAGAATTATTTGACAAAGGGCTAGATTAAGGTTTCATATTTATCATGGGGTTGGCTCATGAGTCGTGTTTGAAATCTCCACCTCTGCACGTGAAGATGAGGAGGAGGTCGAGAAGAAGGTAGCCATGATGGAAATGGAGACCAAAGAGCGCAAGCCCCGGGCCGGTCGACAGGCCTACGTCCACAAGCCCTTCCTCTACTCCCGTTACTATAGCGACTCAGACGATGAGGTCACCGTGGAGCAGAGGCGGCGTGATGCGGTGAGTGGGCCATTGGTGCTTGACTGTCCCGGTGACCCGTGGCAATGCCCAGCCACCCGTCGACTGCTATCTCCTCTCATCATGGTGCCTGAGGTTCATGACAGTATGTGCTCTCACCTTCACCCTCAGGCCAAAGACAAAGAAGAGAGGCTGCTAAAGAGGCAGCAGAACCGGGAAAGGATGGAGGAGAAGCGACGGCAGAAAATGTCCCAGCAGGAGAGTCACGGTACTGCTGGCTTATACTGTTACTTATACTGCAGCTGTGCATTAGGCCAGTTTCCGTTTCTTTATTGTATTGAGTTTTATGTTTCTCTTTATCCACTAATCTTACAAAACAAGTGCATATCGAGGAAGTGCTTCTGTCCTGAAAAGCACGTCCCTCCCTCACCCTTTCCTCCACAGAGGAGAAGATGGAGACGTCGCCTCCAAGCCTGGAGGTCCCAGGTACATCTGGCAAGGAGGCGCGCAAGGAGAAGAAGGTCCTGGAGAAGAAGGTAGCCATCAGCAGGAAGAGAAGAAAGCATTCAAAGTGAGTGTGTGCCTGCGTGTACGTGCATGTGAGTGTGCTGTGAAGAGGAGAGCCTTTGAGGCGTGTGCACGTCTACGGCCCAGTGCTCCCCGCATCAGTGAGGTCATTTGTCGATTGGCAGGAAGGAGGATGAGGTTGGCAACAAGAAGAAAGGAGATGCAGAGGAAGAGCTTCTGAAGAAGCCTGATGCAAGTAGCACATTTCTTTATGCAGATATGCTGGTTGGCTTCATGAGTTTGGGCATAACGATGTAATCGTTAAAAGTAAATGGACTGCTTTTTAAGTAACATTGCCACTGTTCTTATCAGTAGTGGATTATCTTTAAGCTTTAAAGTAAGATTATACTGTAACTTTTTTAAATGGCAGTAATTCTTAAATGAGAGCTCTTCAGACATACCTAACGGTGACATTTGCATATTGCTTCATGGATGTTTGTGTTGACACAGGAAATTAAGGGATCCTTCTCAAAGGGCCAGCAGCCCAGGTCCATCCGGAAAATATCTGAATCAGCTGCATCAGATGAGGGATGGAGGAGAAAGAGCAGTGGGGAAAGCCCATCTGAGGCCCGGGATCCCAGGAAGCTGCTCGACAGGAGCAAGACCCATTCATTCATCCTGGACTTGGAGCAGGCGTCCGAAGAGCTGCTTAGACAGAGAGCAGTCGGGAAGTTCGACAGGCACCCCCGCAGGGAGCAAGGGGACATCCCCAAACATGCTCGAGAAAAGGACAGAGCTGAGAAGGAGCGCAGTCTTTCTGACGAACGCAGCAAACACAGGCCAAAAGCTGAGAAGGCCACAGTATTTGGTCGCAGCGGTAATGATGCACATATGGAGGAAAGCTCTCAGAAGGATGGAGCTTCTGTGAATAAGGCAAATCCGGACGAGAAGGCAGAGAAGAAGAGCAAAGCCAGAGGGGATCGACGGACTTCCTTATCAGGCCGTGAGTCCAGGGTGTCTGTCTCAGAGGCAGGGGCCCTGGAAGAAGGCTCTCAAAAGGATGTCCCTAAGAAGGCAAAGGTGTCATCCTCAGCAGATGCCTTGAAGATCGAAAAGACCAAAGTGGAAAAGGTTCCTCTGATAAAAAGTGATACCAAACTTCCATTCAGCCTGGACACCACAGGATCTTCTGAGGACAAGTCTGACATCGAGCCTGGATCTGAGAGTGGGAAGAAGAAGGATAAACATGCCAAAGAGGTTGCAAAGAGATCCAAAAGCCTCACCGAAGACAAGAATGTGGAGAAGAGCCGCCCTAAATCAGATACTAAGGACACGAGGCCTAGTGAGAGAGATGCTGACCGCAAACCAAAAATGGATCAAGTTCCCCCTGAACACCTAAAGTCTGAGAAACCTGACACAGACCTTGACCACAAGACTAGGGATGCAGAGTCTGGGTCAAAGGTCAAATCCACCTCTACAGAGAAGTCCAGATCCAAATCCAAGGAGGAACCCAAAACTCAACCAGTGCCTAAAGTGGACAAGAAAGCTCTGAGTTCAGAGAGCAAGAGCAAAAGTGCCAAAATCAGCAGCAGGTCAGACTCATCCAAGGAGAAGAAGAAGGATGGGGGTTTGAAGGAGGACAGCAAAGCTTCTACTGAGACCTTACACGAGAAAAAAGAGAGTAGGGACTCCAAAAAGACTGCTGAGAAACTGGGTAATGATGCAGAAAAAACAGATGAGGCCCAGTGTGAGGAGAAGGAGAAAGAATCTTCAGTTGGTGTCTCAGTCTTCCCTTCTGTGACAGAGACTCCACCTCCAGACAAGCTCCAAACTCAAGAAGACAACACGGATTGTGAGGTTGTGGGTTCTGCTGCCACCACAAGTATAGTAGATGACACTTTTGATGCTCTGAGTGACATCACTCCTGAACTTGAGGATGACGACGCTACAATGCAAATTGATGATGACCTGGCCTTTCAGCCGGCTTCCGCAGAAGTGAATCGCCCACCAAGTCCCACAGAAGAGCCATCAGCAGACACTCCACTAAGCCATAGTGCAGATAAGGACTTTGGAGTAGACCAACAAGAACAAGTATGTAGCGTTCCTCAAGAAGTAGGAAGCATGGAGTTGGCATCTTGTGCCTCCTCTTCCACCGTCAGCCCCGAGATGGGACAGCTGCTCCCAGGCATCTCCCTGCAAGAGGCAGACTTGAAGATGCAAGAAGCAGCCTTGACCCTTCTCTCCATGGACCCTGACATGTCGGTATGTCACAGCCTGACTGCAGTTCACCCACACTTACCTTTGACTATCACCTCATCTGAGCCAGAGCAGCCTGAAGCGGCTTGTCCTCCAGAAGTTGGTGGGAATTTTGGCCACGAGGCTACCGATGGCGTCACAATAGCCATTGAAACTGTGGAAATGTCACCTCCAAAGACCTCGCAAGAGACTGACTTCTCTGAGAACGTCCAGCCAGATCTTGAAGGTATCTTCACTCTGTCCCCTCTCATCCATTACTGTTTGCGTTGTGGTGATAGAAGTCTCAGAGTAGTGGTGTGTTTGCAGGTGTAAGCTCTAAAACACCAGGTGACCAGATGGTTGGTGATTTAGGGGATGACAACTGCTCTGAAAAGATGGAGGTAAACTCTACTCGTTTGTCCATCCAGTCTTTCTGCAAAGAAGTTTACTGATTCTTACATCTTCCACGTGCCCGTGTTTTGGAAGGTGGATGAAGCTGTAGGTGAAAAACTGGAAAATCCAGACAAGAGTGACGATACTCCAGAAACCAAAGCAGAGGAGCATCCTGGGGCCGTCGTGAACGTCGCGTTGCCTGAGCCATTACACCTAGGTGAGAGCTGTAATTGGTGGCACTGTCCTCCCAGCTATAGGCAAGATGTCTTACCGATGTGTCTTCATCCTCTTTTCCAGAAGACGTGCCTGCAAGCCGCAGTACTGAGCCTGCTCTACCCACAGAGGTCTCCAAAACTGGATGCCATGTGAGTTTTCTGTGTGATTGCCCATGGCTTCGACTTTGCATATCATATCGACCTACACACTGCTTAGGTAGAAGTGCTGTTTGCCATCTGATACAGCTCTCTGAAATCAAGGGCATGTAGTCACTTGGTGGTTTGTGTTGGCTTTTACATCCAAGCTTGTAGTAAGTTTCTTTTCAGTTTAAATAAGCCAGGGAAAGAATTACCTCAAGTCTAAGCAGGAAGTGCAAATGCTCTATGGCTTCCTGTGCAGAATGTCGAGCAGGAAGTCGATGGGAATAAAAAGGAAGAGGATGTGATCGTGCCGATCATCATGACTCTGACAGAGGCGGGTAAGAAGCTGTCACTCTTAATGACGTTCTGGATGTTTTGGGACGCCACCATTTTTGGAAAATATCATTGGTTGCTCTGTTCAGTCTGGGATTCAAACGCATAACCTGTTTGAAGCCTTTGTGCCAAATAGCAGATGTTTTTGGGGTCAGTCGCGACCTGTCAACCTTTTTCTTTGTGTAGGTGATGCCTGCACTCCCACAGAGGAGGTCAGAGTGAATGCTGAGGCGGTAGAGGTCCATGCTTCAGAAACGTCTCTTGCTAGGGAGGGTGAGAACATGCAGAGCTCAGTCGGTAAGCTAGATCCACCAAAGCACACTCCCGCTGGTTATGTCAATACATGGTGAGCGGTTATGTGCTTCAAACTGAAGCAGCTAAAAAATTGTAAAATGAGATGTGAAATCCCAGGGGACGTCTGGCTGAACTGAAGCCTTGTGATCCCCTCTCTGTGTAGGCGGGGAGCAGCCTGGACCATCAGACCCTGCAGGGAGACCTGAGGAGGTAGGGCTCCAGCTCAGTGACCGGCTGTCCGGCTCTCTCGCTGCAGCCGGTCGTGTCTCGATGTGTAGCCAGTGCTGTAATTGGCTAGTTAGTCCCAGACTGCCTGTTCCTCAGTGCCCCTTTGAGGGCAATGAGTGGCTGAGCGGGCAAAGCCTCTGTGCCTGGCATCAGAAGGTCGCCGGTTCGAGCCTGGCGTCAGCAGAACCGTAACATGTCCATGGGCCCGTGAGGAAGGCCCTTAACCCCCAGCTCCATGGGTGCCCCTGCAGGTGGCTGCCCTTCGCTGCCAAGCTTGCTCTCGCCTGTATATGTGTCTGCATGTCTCAGTAGGCAAAAAGAGGAATGCCCCACAGGGATCGATAAAGTATTATCATTCTAGAGCACTGCTTTTCTTCCCTGTCCTGCTACAGCCTGAAGATGCTGAACGTGATGGAGAGCCATCCAGCGCAGCTGCCGAGGACCCTAGTGAGCTCTGTGTGGTGTGCTTTGCTTAATTAATGTTCCCAGTGAAAATGCTCACGTTCCGCTAATTTACTGAATGTCTCTGTAGGTACAGGAAGGGACGCATCAGACCATGACTGCAAGGAGCCAGAAACTGTAAGTCTAATTGTCCAGCACTGTAGCCGTTTAATGCTGGTGATTACCGTAATTTGTTTTAAATAATTTTCTTTTTCATTTTGCTAGTATATAATTTGCAGTTGAGCACAAAGAAACCTGGTTAAACTGGGCAGAAATATAGATGTTAAGCTGGGATAAATGTCTCCTGTCCGAAGGAGGATCAGTCAGAGAAGCAGCGAGAGGTTAAGGAGGCTCGTCGAGGCCGGCCGCCCAGACTCGTTAAACAAGCCAGTGAGTGACACCTGCCGTCTGCGCTGCCGTCTGCGTGACGCTGTGCAGACGGCCTGAGCTGGTTCCTCTGTTACAGGTAGCGCTTCAAAGTCAGATGGGCTGGAGGAGGAGACGGGAGCAGATCCAGTGGAGCAGGTAACCCCGTGTGCTGTGCATGCTGGCACCGTGTCGGCTCCGCCGTCAGGGCAGTGATGAAAGTGCCTGTTTGCTGGGCTGTGTAGGAGGACAGAGCAGAGGGCAGGATGACGCGCAAGGGGAGGCCAGGCCAGAAGCTCACTGCTGCCAGGAATGCCAGTAAGCCGTCCCGTCTCTGCACCCGAATGCGGGAAATGTCATTCTGCTGTTCTGTTCTTATATATAGGACAGGGTTACTGATGAAATGTGATGCTGTCTGTTTTCTGCAGGTAAGATTTCACCAGGGGAGGGTGAGCTTAAAGAGACCGGAACAGAAACCCAAGAAGAGGTCAGTGCTTGTGTTTGGATCGTTTCCCCTCCCCCCGGGACCTTCTAAACTAAGCAAATACTAAGTCTGCTAGGTCTAGATAACGAACGTATAAAACTGTATCAAGCAGCATGCAATTTAAGCTGAACTGGCATCAGGTTTTTTTAGAAAAAGGTGCGTTCCCATCGCAGGAACTTGTTTTCCCTTGGAAGTGGTTCCAGAACCTTTTTTTAGTCCCTTTTACTGAGAGGGGCTTATAGCAATAAGTTTTGCCTCATATTTTTAGAATGCGTGAGCAATGCCCCAATAACTAATAAATAACTAAAAGAGCAACTTGTTCATTGTTTTGGGGTGAGAGTGTAGTTTCCACTTATGTGTGGAGTTTAACCTGTGAGCTTTTTGCATCTCCCATGTTTATTTAGCATAAAGTTCACAGTTTCTGTTGTGCAGTGGGAAAGTGACACAAAAATGATCAGGAGCTAGATGGCTCAGGAACTTGACACTAGGACCTAGTCGACTAACCTTCGGTGTGAGAACGCCTATAGATGCTTGGCATCATGAAGGCTTAGGGTTCGAGCTGTGGCCTCACGCCTCCAGGGCTGGCTGTGTGTGGCTGAGCGCGTGTGTGCATGCATGCATGCGTGTGCTGTGCTGTGCTGTGCTGTGCTGTGTTTCCCGGGATCCCCACTGTACCATACTGGATAATATACTGGGCATTATGCATGTTTTCTCTTAAACAGGAAGAGGAAGCAGACGACGTGAAGGAAACTCGGCCCCGCAGGGGCAGGCCCCCCCTGAGCACCCCCCGGGGAGATGCCGGTAGGTCTCTCCCTCTGAGTCAAGGGCTTTTCGGAAGGACCTCTGTGACCCCCTGACTCTGTACCCCCCCCCCCCCCCCCGCAGGAAAGTCACAAAAGGCAGAAGGTGCAGTGCCAGGCCCCAAACCTGAAAGTGTGAGTGGAAATCCCTCCCATCACTTGTGATGTCATAAGCGTGCACTGCTGTGAGCGTACATGCCAGCTCTTGGGAAGGCGTTGATCACTATTTTAATTAATGGTCGTTTATAGCTTGCGTGATTAATGTACAGATCTCTTATCTGCTCTCAGCCTGCATGCTTGACTAAATTGAATAAATTGAGCATCTCCTCTAGGATAATGAAAGCGAGAAATCTTCGGGGTCCAAGGTGCCACGTCGCAGAAGGTCTTCAAAGACAGCGCCCCCTCTGGAGGAAATGCGTAAGTCCTTCATCCACAGACCATTCGCTAACAGATATAAACAGATGTGTGTGGGTTTAAGGTCATGTGACACTGGCGGCGGGAAACTGTCTTCCGACACATATCTGATGTCTCCTTTATTAGCATCATCTCAGGAGCCCGAGGAAGATGAGGAGGAAGGAGAGGCTGTGGAAGGGGTCAGTCGCTCTCATTGTTACCTAGAGATGAAATATCTGCCCATTTATGTAATGCGCAAGTATCTAATGTGAACATCCCATAACAAGCAGTCATTTAAAGAAATGACGTCGTGGCTCAGCAGTGACGAGCGTGCGAATGCGTAATCAGCACTTGAGTCTGTTTAGGTTTGCATCTCACTCAGCCTGTGTTCTGGTGTCCCATTATGAAGGAAGTGGAGAAAGCAGGAACAATGGGGCGGCGAGGACGGCATCCTGCATCCAGCAAGAGTGAGTGTCCTCAGAACTCGTGACGGGAAACTCGTACGTGTAATGCTGTGCAGAGTCGGGGCATGAGACGCGGGCCCGCCTGAGCGGCCGTCACAGCGGGGCTCGCAGTGTGTGCTATAAGACTGGCTGCTTCCCAAACAGGCACCCTGCAGAGGAGGAGTGATGCTGAGGGGCTCGGTGACACAGAGGACAAAGCAGGGGAGGTGAGACATCGAGTCTCTGGGCTGCTGTCCCAGAAACAGCTCCCTGCTTTAAAGCACTTTCTCCTCCCTGTCTCAGAAGGAGGTGGAGGAAAAGAGTGGCGGGAAGAGGGGCGGCCGTCGTGGACGAGTGGGCCGACCTCCAGGCACAGGTGGGAGGGGCTTCCATTTCTGTGTGGCTAAGTTCCAATGGTCATTGGTATTAATGAGCAGGTCAATATTGGAAATAATATGCGCTATAACCTCTGTCTGTAAATTATTATGAATGAAACACCAAACATTTGACTGTTAATCAGTAAATATTCATGAGCACCTCTGAGTAAAAATGCTGTGTTTAATACTACAGATATCGGATCGGTATCGGCACCGATCCAGACCTATTTGACGGATCGGGTATCGGCCATTGGTGACTGATCCAGGTCCTTACTTATTTAGTTTTTGGCAATCTCTAAGAAGACAGCTGTTTTACGCTTTGAACAGAAACCAGTAGCTCAGCGATTTGCAGTCTTTGTACAATAAAGTTTTGAGAGGTGGGAGTAGCGTTTAATGGACAATCCCACTTAACAAAGCGCACGCAACTGCGAGACAAAAAAAGCAATGGATGGTTTGGGAGTCGCTAACCTGGACTGTCTTGCGAACTCGCTGCAGCTTGTGATACAAGAGGGGCTGCCGTCGTAACAAAGTGTAACTGAGCTGACGCCAATGAGAGAAAAAATGTGTTCAAATTTTTTACCATTGGCCACTTGTGTATTCTTGCTTTGAAGATATTCATATTGAACTGCAAATGCCTCAGAAACGCTTAAAACAAGACGTACAAAGGAGGTGGAACAGTACGTTATGTGTTTGTAGTAGCCTAATTAAATATCTTTGTCATACATTTTTTCCATCTGTATTTACTAGCTTAAAAAAAATAATATATAAAGTATAACAAAGTTAAAAAGAGCTCTTGTATCGGAATCGGTATCGGTATCGGAAGTTGTGTATCGGAATCGGATCGGACCTGAAAAAATGTGGATCGGCCATCTCTATTTAATACACATGAAGGGGCATTGCTGTGTGTTGGGGTGTAAAGCTATGCAGGAGCAGGCCAAGGAGAAGGAGGAGCCAGCAATGTTGGTTGTGAAGCAGCCCTCGGACAGCCGTGAGTGGCGTGTGTCCTGCGGCAAGGCCACTGTGTGCCTGTAACGGCTTCATCTACGATAGTGTGGCAGAGCTTCTAACCAAGTTTAGGATTTGGGATTTCAGCTTGGCGGCTGGTTAGGGATCAGTGTCCGTACCCTTAGGATTGTGTGCTCGTATCTCATGGCCAGCAGCGTAATTATATCACCAGTGGGGCTGTGGAGTGAGACCCTTAACCCCAGATTCTAGCTGACCCTGCTTTCCAATCCTCTATTTGGACAAAATCATCTGCCAAATAAATGTATTCATGTGTTTCCCAGAGTGCTGTGCAGCTGGTTAGGGATCCGTCTCCATACCCATAAGCTTGTGGGTAGAGCTGGGCAGTATGACCGAAAATTTATATCATGGTATTTTTTAACGTTATATCGGTTTCACGGTATACAACGGTATTTTTATTTTTTTTTTTAGTATGACTGGCCGTTTACCACATTTTTCCAGGATTTTACAGGACACATTTTTGTTTTACATTTTTGCATTTTCTCCACATTAACTATATTATTTTATTATTAGCCATTGCGCCTATCAGCTACCTTAATAATGACATACGGCTAACATGTTTGTTGGCTAACTGCTTATATATAAACGGCTATTGTTAAGGTGTGTGGCGGCCAAGTTAACATTTTTGATAAGTGTTTAATAGGTGAGTGTGCTGTAGCGGTGCTGTGTGAAGTGTGGCAAATGGCGAAAACCGCATTGTTGGTATCAATAATGGTGAAAATGAGTATCTAATCAGATACAAATTTTTTATATCGATTAGTATCTGAGAATCGATTTTTTTGTCTCATTATTTTCTCCAGCGTCAGCTATATCTTTCATTTCTGATTTTTAAAACAAGGAATAATTAAGGTACGTTTTTAGCGGTGCAGCAGTGAAAAAGGTCCCCCCTTAAAGTTTCCAGCTGCACCACTTTCCGAACGTTGTGTAGGCTATTTAAACCTGTATTGCGGTATAAGAAAAAATCATATCATAACAATAATAAAAAATGGTTTCCAGTATGAACCGGTGTACCGCCCAGCACTAGTTGTGGGCTCAAATCCCATGTAAATGTGTTCATGTGTTTCCCATAATGTCCTCACAGGTAGAGCAGCTTTAAAGAGGAAGAGATCTGAGGAGGTCCCAGAGTCTGGAGAGGTGAGTGTGTCCTCTTCCACACCTAGGCAGATGCATGTCTTTATTATTACTGTGTGGTGTTAGTGCTCTGATTGTATCGGAGCTCTTTTGTGGGCTCTGCGTTTGACTCTGCCTGCTGTTGAAGGATTCTCAAGCTGAAGAAGCAGAAGACAAGAGCGACGGAGCGCCGAGGCCGAGAGAGAGACTCCCGCGAGACGCCAGCGGTACGGCCGTTCACCGGGGAGACGCATCGCTGCCCCCTCACACCCATTAAAGAGTTGAAAGCAGGTTTCTCTAATTTGTGTGTCTGAATTCGTCCAGCGAGCCAGTCTGATGACCAGGAGGATGAGGAGGCTGGTGCTGACAGCAAAGCCCAAAACGTAAGCCTACGTAAGGAACGAGTGAGCCGGGTGAGGAGGGAGATGGGAAGTCACCTTTAGCTTTACCATGACTCCCTGCAGGACGAGGAGCGGGAAGCCCCCCCAGAGAAGAAGCCGGCCCGTAGGGGACGGCCCCCCAAGGCAGCTGCACCCGTCAGCACAGTGAATGAGGACACAGGTAGGGAGCGCAGCCAGCAGGCACATGCAGCCATGTGACAGGAGGCCCCTTCAACTGTGTCCTGCACGGAGTCTGTGCCCCGGGGGGGGGGGGGCTTGTGTGGAAAGCAAGGAGCCCAACGTGCCAACTGTACCACGCAGAAAAGACCTTGTCTGAGAGGAAGGACAAGAGAGCGGCCGATTGGGTGGAAGAGATGCACGTGGACGAGGAGGCAGAGGATGAGGAGGACGAAGAGACTCAGACACGAGCCACGACACGGTCAGCGACCCGCCTGGAGGCCCAGAGGTAAGAGCGTGCCTGGGGGCGCCTGTAGCCCGGGGACGCCTGGGGACACACTCAGCCTGCATCTTAGGCACCCAGCAGGAATGCTATCCACAGGCCAAAGGCTCAGCAGAGCTGCTCTTAGTGCCCAAATATATGGCCTCCTGCTTACAAGAGAAATCTCCCCCCCTTACCCCTCAGGAACAAGCCACCTAAACCATCCACCCGCGCCTTGAGTAAACTGAGTGGGAAGGAGGACACCCCCCCAGCCACGCGGTATGGAGATGTGTGTGTCTGCATGCTGCGCATGTCTGTCTGTCTCTGTATCTGTCTTTGTCTGTGTGTCTGTCTGTGTCTGTTTCTCTCTCTGTGTCTCACTTAGTCTGTCTTTGTGTGTCCGTGTCTGTCTTTGTCTCTGCATCTGTCTTTGTCTCTTTGTCTGTGGGTCTGTCTGTGTCTGTCTCTCTCTCTGTGTTTCTCTGTCTCTGTGTTTCTCTTTGTCTCTGTTTCTCTTTGTCTCTGTGTCTGTCTTTGTCTGTGTGTCTGTCTGTCTCTCTCTCTCTGTCTCTCTTTGTCTCTGTTTCTGTCTTTGTCTATGTGTCTGTCTGTGTCTGTCTGTGTCTGTCTCTCTTTGTCTCTCTATCTGTCTGTGTCTCTGTCTGTCTGTGTCTGTCTGTGTATCTGTGTCTGTCTGTGTGTGCAGTATTTACCTTTTCACTGCATATTTTCCCCATGTGACCAACAAACTGCTGCATCTCCTCTTTACAGGGCAGGTAGGGGCCAAGGACGCAAACGTGAGGCCAGCCCCCCTACAGTTCGCACCCGAGGGGGGCAGAAGTCAGAAGAGCCTCCCACCAAGAGAACAAAGCGATGAGCTTCAGTGGGCGCCTGTGATGCCCCCCCTAACCCAGAACCGTGCTGCCTAGTTAGGGATTTAGGTCTATACTCCTCATTTTATTTTTAATGTTCACTGGCTGTTTTAACTGTACATATTCAGCATATTTTCACCGTGCTGCTTCCAGAGTGGGTTCTTCTCTGGGTCTAGGTTAACTAACGGTAGTTCTGTGTGTTGTGCTAGTTAATCCCAGGGTCTGTACACTCTGCTGGTAGTTACCTGAGTAGAGGGGAAGAGTTATTACCGATATTAACAGTGTCATCCGTTAAGTATGATGCATTCCACGTCTGAGTGTTTTTATTATGAAGGGGTCTGCAGCCATGATACTGCTGATGTTTCTAATCCTGTCAGTGACTTTGGCTCAGATTCTCCATGCCAGTTAGATTTACTACATGTAGATCTCGACCATTATTATAATTATTATTATTGACTTTGTTAGTTGCAGTTTTAAGTTACATATTTGCATTACTCGGTTTATGAGGATGACATTGACTTCTTTAGATAATGTTAAGGTTTATTCTTTATGTATCAAGTTCGTCACCTTTTTATCATGTATCAAATATCATTTAAGCAAATGTTTTCATATTCATTCTGTGAATGTAAAGAAAAACATGGTCCATTTTCCCTGTTTGTTGCTTGTCCTGAACTTGCTATTTTTATTTCATATACGAAGTCACAAAACACGTGTTAAATCAACACTTTGCAGTGTTTGCTGTCTGGCTTTGATTTAGCTCAGGTTTCCTGCAGCGATGTACTCCTTGTTTTAGCGATGATGCGAGCGCAGTTTTAGCTCTTTAAAAGCCATTTGAGCCGTGCTGCTTGTTATGTATTCCTCTTAGAGTAGCCAGCCCCAGCTTCACGATTTTCTACCTGCTGGCATTCAGCTAATACCAAGGAAAAATATTTTAATATAATTAGGGAAAATAAGCGCCATTTATTTGTGAACCGTGGGCATAAATCATTTGTAGAGAACTGTGAATATGTATTGGGTGTAATTTTAAGTGTGTGTTATTTAAAACTGTCATCAAACCGATAGACCGCCTCAGACCTGTGAACAGCCAAGTATAATTATAGTCTTCGGTGAAACCTCGCGGCATATTTAATGTCCACACCAGGTCTCTCTATGGCCGTCTGAGGCATTTTAACGTAGTTCGTTTAAAGTTTAGCTGCTGCTTTTTGGAGGAATCGGCGGAATTTAAGTTGAGGTGAATAAACATTTTAATGCGTAAGGAAAGAGGACGAAAAGCAAAGCACAATGATTCAAATAAACTTATTTTTTGCATATGTAATACCAATAACCGATGTAGGCTATTTAAATGATCGTTTGCGCGCAACGAGCAAATAAGCGGAAAGGGCGAAACCGGGATTTTTCCGAGTTTTCCAGCACTCTGGAGAACTAAATGCGATTCATCTAGGTGTTCTCCACAGCTATTTCCTGGTGTGAAAATCCAGTGCTAAATATTAGTCTAACACCTTTTTAAAGTTCTTGGATGCTTTTCTCGCCGCCACCTGAACTGGCAGGCGAACAATGCGCCGTTCAGTTACCGCCAACCGCTTGTGTGCTTCTGCTAAGACATTACATCCTCCAGCGGCGTTAACAATCCCAAATCATTTGCGTCCACACTGGAGCAATTATTTCGTTTTTTTTTTTTTTGGTATTTTATGTCTTGCAGAATGAGCAGAGCAGTAATGGTAACGCCGCCCCAAACCGTTTCCCGAGTCTCTCGTTGGGCGCCGTTATAAATTGAACGCTATTTATAGGCAGATCTAAGTCCATGGAGCTGCCTTAAGGGTCTCGCTTCTGAAACACAAAAATTATTCCGCTCTTTTTGAATAGCTGGTTTATTAACCGCTTTTTGCTGGCGTCTTCATACAAGCAACTTAAAAAGCAACTGTACAAAGCTAACTAACTCGGTGAAAGGGATGCACTTGTAAAGGCCAATAACAACAACAATAGGCATTATTATTATAATCATCAACGTCATCCTTTAAATTCTGCTCTATTCACTCATGGAGCCGAGTCCATCCCTTGAACCTTTGGCTAACATGATGGATAATGTCCTCCTCCGTACATGAGCAGTGCCAAGGAGGACGATCTTCTGGACCTCTTGTATCCTGATATTACCCGGGATTTTGTTTGTTAGTTTTCCATCTCTTTCTTGACTAGAACGAAAGCACCTATTACCACTGGTATCAGGGTAAAGAGGGGAAAAGTTAGGACAATTCCAGGGGGCCTACAAAATTTGGAAAATAACTGGACTGGTCTGGGGATGCAATATAATATGCCTTCATGGGGCCCAAAATCTCTAGCAACGCCCCTGACCGATATTGTTGTGGTTTTCATGACCAACATCTTCTCAATTTCTATTTTTATATCTTTGTATTTGGACAATTTAGCTTTCAGGGAGATTTCTTTCAGTAGGACCAACATGTCGATGAGCAGACAAGTTCTCTCCAGATCCTTCAATACTATACGGCTCTGATATAGCCTACTTGATTTCTTTATTATAGTTTGTATTGCTATGTCTCAAATATAATAGCCTCATCGTTTTCAGTTACCGCTATTTATTATTATTATTATTACTGCTACTAGTTTTTGACTTATAGAAAATACTAAGTAAATATTGCTCATTATTTTAGCAGAATTGACCCTGCATAGGATCAGCCGGCTTGGAAAATGGGTGAATGAGTAGCGCTGCCTTTTTTCCGTTATCGTGACAGTAATATTACGCACTTATGACGCCAGACACCTCTTAACTCTTAGGCCTAGCTGAGCTGGACGCGTGAACGCACGAAAATTAAGGTCTGAGATACAGGGAAAAAATAAAATAAAGTTTTATTGTTCTCTGACAGGTTGGGTCCTAACCGACTGAAAACTGTATAGTCCTACGGCATAATAAAACGTACTGAACCCTTAATATTAAGAAGTAATGGTATGATTTGACATTCCCAAAACAGATGTGTAGTAAACTATGAAACCACTTTTAAGACTGTAGTTTAATGACCAAATGGGTAATGTCTCACTCAGCGTCCGTTTCCCCTAAATTGCAGCTAAATTGTCTAGGAAATCCGTAAATGACCCACGCAATGAATGCAGAATAATTAATAGGTTTATGAAGACGTGAAGTATTTATTCAAAATGGTCAGTGCGAATTGCAACTCAGTGTCTGCCTGAAGCATTTTGATGTAAAGCCTTTCTGATTGTGTCGGAGATTTTTAAGGTAGGTGGGTGAAGCCAGAACCCAGCGAACTGCATGTGTTCCGAGTATCATGCCCAAGAAGCAGACAAGGTTTACCTAATGTTAATGGTTTGAAATAAATGAACCTGCAAGAGCAGAATCTCTGTCTAAATTAAGAAGTGTCCTGTTTAAACAGCCTATTCGTAACAACACTTTAGAAGCGTTTTTTTTTCTTTGAATGACGTTTTTATTGAAGTAGAGTGTATTGAAAGCACGGCTGGAAAGCACTTTGACTCTAATGCACCTGCGGAATAAAAGCCTCGTATAAATCTCTTAACAATTCTCGTTGTCTTGGCCCGCGCCAAGGACGACGGTAACTCATTTGTCAAGAGAATAGCCTTCTAGATTCTGCAATAAATCACTTCTATAGTATCTACACATATTAATTGGACTGTAACTGTCTCCCCTCCGAAATGGGTTCCTTGCTGTTGAGTCTCTTGTGGTAAAGTAGCCTGCTCTGAGCTGTTTTGAATGGTTTCCAAGAAGCAGTCAGCTCCGTTTCCCCCTCATCTCACGGTTCAATTTACAGTATTAAGGTGCTGCCCCAAAGAATCGTTCCATTTAGCATCAATCGCATGCAAGGATCATTTTTCTTTAGGAAAGCAGCCGTTGTTACTTAGAGGGCTAAAAGCATACTGAGATTTTTTTGGTTCATTTTTTTCGGCATAGTACTTGATTAAGGGTAGCCTACTGTCCAAGTGGATTTCTGGATTTGATACTTGGAAAGACACAAAAACAAGACTTCAGAGCATTTGTTTAAATGACACTTGGCAATACCCTTACACACATTTACATCTGAACACAATTTGGAAAGAGCTTGCGTTGGGAGCGAGGAGTGCATTACGATCTGTCCACATATATCTCACTTCGTCAAGGATAAGACCTCCTGACAAACACAGCGTAGAGCTTGGGGTAATGCAGACCTGTGAAGATCAGTCTAGAAAGCGGTGCACCTTCATTTCATCGCCCGTATTGTTACTTCACAATCACAGATATATAGTGGTCACGGGGCGGTGTTTCTTATGCGTTTCTTGACTCATACCAGTTCCACCGTGCGCCAATTAAACGACGTTCAATTATTTACAGGGTAAATGATTTGTTCCATTAAAAAGGCAATAACTTTTCATTTAGTCTAGTAGAGTAGCACCAGGTGTAAACAAACCAGATTAAATATTTTTACTTTTTCTATAATTTGGTGCAATATAACAGAAGGAAACAGAAGCCTACACATTCCTTTTGTTTACTTAACAGCATAATGAAAAAAACAATGCACTTAAAACTGCACCTATATCAAATACGTGCATAATGTACAAATGAAGAGCTTCAAGTATAATTAAAAACAAAGCAAATGTTAAAGGTGTGATAAAACCCGCATAACAATTTGTCATGTAGGCGTCACGGACTGGTAAACAAACTAAGAAACGGAAAAAACCTGCGAGGAATTAAGGCTTTACAAGGTATTTGTACAGTCGACGTACTGAGTGTGCTGTCATTTTTCATAGTTTGGGTGGTTGCGCTTGTTTGGAAAAAGTCAGATCAATTGTTTACATCATTACAGCGGGCAAGCTGACTTACGTTTTAGACGTTTTGTTTTTATATTGAATGGTCTGTTGACATAATTTCCAATAAAGAAAAAATACGAATCGACTGCTCTCCTGGAACGCACCCCAGTCAGTCCCCTGAAAATGGAGAAGGATTTAGAAAGGAATAATACCAGTTTGTGTGACATACAAGGCACTGCCCGTCAGAATCACTCACTGTGCATCCATCCACTTCTACAGAAGTACTACGGCGCCAATATTTAAACCACCCTACAGAAAGCGAGGGGCCCTCGTTCCGTCCTATTTTGCCACCCGTGCTATCCATTAATTCGGTCTAAAATGAAAGGAAGACGAGCAGCACGAATGAAGTGAACGAATTAAGGGTCAATTCCCCTTATACTGTTAGAGGGAATATCAAGAAAATCTCGACGAAAATCAGTTGGTTGGAATTATGCAAACAAAATATATGCAAAAACTGAAAGACACCGTTTAATTATGTTTTATATTAACTTTCACTTGGTCGAAATGTTTAAGTGAAACAAACAGGCATAAATTAAACATTTAAAACGTTTTTTGTATTACAACTGTATTGATAACCGTCCTCTGGCGGCAGTTCACAGCTTACTGAAAAGTGTGTTGCACAATCACTTAAGATTAATGCCACTGTACTGCAATTAATGTGCTAATATTACCAATCCTGTATGTTTTTTTTCCAATCACAACTATTAGAGTTATTACCAAATGAAATCTGCGCTGTCTTACATTTCTTTAAAATACATGACAACAGAAAATATAAGGGACAACTATATATTTTTTATCATTGGTAGCGTATTATTAATGACGACTTAGAAAGCAAACGGAAATCATAACCGTTTCTTTTCTGGGAAAATCCCACTGTGTAGGCCTAGCCGACAATGC